AAACGTTTTCTAAACCTCAAACAAAGGACTGGTTAGTGAAGGACCATCGTAAAAATAAAATGTTAATGAAACATCTTGTTATATATTATCTTAACTCAAACAAGGACTCAAAGAAATGGCTTCAATATTCCAACTCATTTACAATATTGTGGTATATTTTGTCATTTATAATGTTGCAGTATATCTTATCATTTATAATGTTGCAGTACATCTTATCATTTACAATATTATGGTATATTTTATCATTTACAATATTGCAGTATATCTTATCATTTACAATGTTGCAGTATATCTTATCATTTACAATTTGCAGTATATCTTATCATTTACAATATTGTGGTATATCTTATTATTTACAATTTATAATGTTGCAGTATATCTTATCATTTATAATGTTGCAGTATATCTTATCATTTACAATGTTGCAGTATATCTTATCATTTACAATATTGTGGTATATTTTATCATTTACAATTTATAATGTTTGTTTGTTTTGTTTGTAATTAAGCACAAAGTTACACAATGGGCTCTCTGTTCTTTGCCCACCACTGGTATCGAAACCCAGATTCTAACGTTGTAAGTCCGCAAACATACCGCTGTGCCACTGGGGGGCAATTTATAGTTTTGCAATACATCTTGTCATTTACAATATTTTGGTACATCTTATCATTTATAATGTTGCAGTACATCTTATCATTTACAATATTTTGGTACATCTTATCATTTATAATGTTGCAGTACTTCTTGTCATTTAACCACAATGATGTAGACTGTTTGAAGTTCAAATACGCATCCATTCTCTCAAAGTACTACCAGGATTATCTTTTTTTATTTTGTAGCATCCATGCAGAAGGCAATCTCCCACTGTGTCAGCAGTAACTTTACGGATTTATAAAGCTAAAACTCGAGGTTCGATTCCCCCTTGTGGACAGATAGCGTATTGTGTAGCTTTGCATTAAAACAAACGACACAGACAAGCTAATTCTTTCTATTTATTACAATGTACGCCATATTTAATTCTCTCTTTCATTTTTTTTTTGTATTTATAAGTTACAGTTAAAGCATTTATAAATTTTCTTCACTTTTACACCCCGCATTATACATTAGGCCCAGACTTTCCTGTTTCTGTTCTTGTTCATTGATAAAGATTCGTGCTTTACTGTATTTACTTTAATTCAAACAAACTTTAATTCAATATAATCACTTAAACTTATGTATATTTTAAAATGATATTTGGTGAATGAACGTTAAATATAGCCATTTGACAAATCTAGTTTTAGGCTTAACTAGCCATTTGGTTTTGTTTAAGATCTAATTTCTTGATGTAATTCTTCAGAGCTGTTATAGCCTCATAAAGAAACTTGCAAACACGATGTTTTCCTTAATTTTTATCTCCTATTAACTTTTTTTTGCACTGTCTTTAAGACATAGAAACGAAAATATCAAAAACGTACTTCCATTCTATAATACTTTTGGTACTTTTGGTTGTTTTAAAATTATATTTATTTATATCTGTAGGTGTTGATAGACATTTAAATAAAAACGTTATTCCACTGAAGTTTATTCTGAAGCTACTTATGGCATAACTGTCCTCTGAATCATAAGTCAGGTGATATATAACCTTAAAACTGCAGAAATAATTTTCATCTGTTTGGCATCAAATGAACGTATTGTTCGATGACAATAGAATTTCTGGCCTTGAAGTAAGTGAGGTGTAAACACATGTAAGGGCACGAGAACAGACCAGGAAAGAAATGTAGTTTTTGTTTTTTTATTATGATGTTGAACTTTTACAAAACCTGTTTCATATTGAACTAATCCTCTTGTATTTAAGTAAAATTTCTTAAGTCTTCTTCCAACACCCTAAGATTAATACGGATATTTGGAAAAGTCTATAGGGCGATTATACAGGCACGCTTGGTGTGACATACGAAGAAATATTTTGCATAAGTTATCACGGTGAGTGTACCACTGGTTTTTTGGAAGTGACAATAGGTGGGGTACCAGTATAGCAGCAATCCTTCGATGTTGCTATCATCATTTTCGATTCCTACGTCTACCCTGCCAATGGTATCAAATATTGGATCTCCTAGGAATCGCCCAAACTCTCGTCACAATAGCATCATTCAGTTGAAGAATAATTCTAGGGTTATGGCTATAGACTTGCAGAAAGCTCCATAAGCTGTAGTCAATATGGGAGGGGGGGTGTCAAAAAATATGGTCAAACATGATGAAAATGGTACGTACGGTAAGGTTGTGGCAATTGGATACCAACTGTGTCACGCCTAGTGGCCTAGTCAAACATGATGAAAGTGGTACGTACGGTAAGGTTGTGGCAATTGGATACCAACTGTGTCACACCTAGTGGCCTAGTCAAACATGATGTTTGACTAGGCCACTAGGCGTGACACAGTTGGTATCCGATTGCCACAACCTTACCGTACGTACCACTTTCATCATGTTTGACTAGGCCACTAGGCGTGACACAGATGGCACCCGATTGCCACAACCTTACCGTACGTACCACTTTCATCATGTTTGACTAGGCCACTAGGCGTGACACAGTTGGTATCCGATTGCCACAACCTTACCGTACGTACCACTTTCATCATGTTTGACTAGGCCACTAGGCGTGACACAGTTGGTATCCAATTGCCACAACCTTACCGTACGTACCACTTTCATGATAGCCTTCTTGTATAATAAATGTCCAAGATTTTTTTACCTTTTAACAGTGAAAGAGTGTTTGAGGGTGGTTAGCTTTCCAACCAAATATACCAATCGGATTCTCCTCTTCAACCAGTGTTATATATTGTTGTAGAATATTATTTTCTCAGATTTAGATGTTTGCATTATTTTCTGCTAGAGGGAGTTTTAAACATTACCTGTGAGCTCATAGTAAACAATGACTAGAACTTTCTTGAAAAATGTGGGAAACAATTTGATTTTTTTGTTTGTTTGAAATTAAGCACAGAGCTACACAATGGGCTATCTGTGCTCTGCCCACCACTGGTATCGAAACCCTGTTTCTAGAGTTGTAAATCCGCAGACATACCCGCTGTGTCACTGGGGGGCTTCGCTAAATGAGTATACTTGCGAAACGTTGTTTTTTAACACTCCTTATGCTTTTAGTATTTTCAGTTTTTCCTCCAAGTGTGGTCATACCGCTGTGCTACTGGGGGGCGGAAACAATTTGAACAAAGACACGAGTTAGACCAGAGGTTGTTCATTGATAACACAGGTATGCGAATTTAAACTTGATAAAAGTTGTTTGGATTTTAATAACGGATTTTCCATAATTCACCTACGCAGATTTCGAAAATAATATCCTTTTTTTTTCTATCACGTAAGGATTCTTTACAAATCAGGAAGAAAAACTCTTACTTAGATCAAAATTATTATTTCGTTTACCACAATGAGCATTTTTTTTATTATGATTGTTAACAAAACTACAAACAAATTGAAGAAAATTGATGTCAAACAAATATGCATCCTAATTCATCCTGATTTTTTTTGTGAAATCTACGTCTTTTAGTCTCAAAACTACGTGCTGTGGTCTTTCTTTTATGTATTTCGTTATGACGTTTTGTGAAAAATCTGTACGTAATGGAGAAAAATAAATATAATTTTCTGATTCAGCGTACATGAATTACTGTAGAACGTGTAAAAATTTCAAGACAATAAAACCATCGCAGGCCTGTGTTTTGAGTTTGTGTTTTCAACGAAGTACCAGAAATATGAACAGTACCATACGTTCGAAACAAATTAGCAAATAGAATGTCAAGTTGAAGCGTTATTTATTTGTGCATATCTTTAGTTACATGAGCTCATATAAGTTGCACTTGTAGGATTTGTAGTCGAAGAAATAAAACGATTTCATTATGATTAAGAGGACTGGCCTTTATAGTTTGTTTTACTGAATAATTCAAAAGAACACGCCCAACAATAGAAACTGTTATAACAATATTATAAAATAAACCATAATTACCCACAATGAAAGAAAAATACCGAAACGTGACCTTCTGAGAAATGCATTTTTAAGTTACGTTAGCGAGCTTGGTTTGTAAAAGAAATAAAAAGTGTTAGTCAATAGAAGAAAAAAGTCTGGGAAACAACATCATAAAGTTTCCATAGCCGACATGTGATTGGATAAATAGAGCTGATACAGCTCGAAACCTCAATTTTAGGTCACTCAGTGAGAACACTTTTGTTTTTTTATACTTTTATAAGTATCCTGGTTGTTCAGAGGTAATACTGAGGGCTTATAACGCCAAAAATCGGGTATCGATACCCGTGGTGGAAAAATAGCTCTTCTTTCTGATTTACAACAGCAAAATTCCTATAAGGGCTTATAGTAAACTTGTAGTTTTGTTATTGCATTAGATAGCGTTTAATCGAATGTGTAAATACGATTGTTAACCTAAAACGTTTTCACGATAAAATTTATACCGAGTGAAATATTCAAAATATGAATATTCTGGTGTTGGAATACAAAAAAAAAAAATAGGTGTAGTAAAATAGACAATTCAATAGAAAATGTATTTATTCAGTGTTTTAGTTGCACACAGTTGTTGTATTGTGTTAGCTTGCTTCATTTCGTTATATTCTCGACCGAGAGAGAGAACGTGTGAGTCTTCACGATAAGTTGCTTAAATTAACACATAAGCAAAACTGTGTTGTCCACAAATGGCAGCTTTTAAACCACGATTTAACTAATCTAAGCGTTGAGATCCACGTCAGTTTAACTGGTTGTCAAGATCTTTTGCCAGATGGAAACCTGCCCACCTTGAATGCCTTGCACGTATGCATTTATTCAGTAGAAATCCAAACGAAGAGCCATATGGAAGGGGGATATTCAAAGTACACGTGTGCATAAATATTACAAATACGCGTGTGGGTATTCTAGTTACACACACTTTCCGGTTTCCCTTTCAAATGAACTGGAAGTTAGCCATCCGAATTCCTCGAGGTGTTGAGTTACACGCTGAGAAGATAACGTTCATGCTTCTATCTTGGAGAGACAGCAAATACCAGCCTGTACAGCTGGTTAGTCAGAGTGTGGAACTCCGGTGCTCTATAGATTCGAATCGATAAACACCGACTAGAAACTTGAAGAATACGACTTTAAACCAAAGGAACGTGACCTGTATGAAAACCGAACCCGAACTTTAATTTCCCAGACTGTGAACGACAAAGTTCAGTTTTAATGGTACAGCGAGCTACATTAAGCTACATTAACGACTACTAAAATGCGACTTTGTCGACGTGCCGTGCGTTTCTCCTGCGATCATTCGATATTTTTAGATTTTGATACCGAACTATTTCGTCCTGGATCTAATGCGATTCGACAAAGAAGTTTTATCACAACATGCCGTTTTAACTCTTCTTTGCAAAACACCATCAGTTGTTAAGCTTAATGATGTTCGTACATTAAAGATTAGCGCAAGAGTTCTGTCGTTGAATAGTGAAAATGAATAACCTGTAATTATGTGTTGGATTTTGAAAGCAAACTGAACTCAATCTCAGCATAAGTTGACTAACTCTTAACTATCAGTCTGTCTTATTGTTCATTTTCCTTAATTTAAGCTGAATGCATCATGAATAGAAACTTTTGCAAATTGACTGTATTACATCCGTACCCATTCACCCTCCTAAATTACTCGTGAAAAAAAGACCACAATATCATGGCACCTCCCAGCACACCTGGTAAAGGTGGTGTTTGGAATCACAGGATTCTTCCTGTTATTATTCCTTGTATTCAGTGTTCTTATGTCCATCTGTATAAGGTAAGTGAGACTGTACCTTAGTATGATGATTATTTTACAAATGGCGTTGGGTAATTATTTCATAATAACACACATTTTGCTATGTGAAGCCAATTTCAAACAAAGGGAAACGGTGATCAGATATACAGTGTTGTAACAAAGCTTAGGAATTGTATGTGTCGCATTTATTACTTCTAGGATGTAACTTATTTATAAAATAACTAATTTTTTGGGTGTAGAATAATTAAACTACTTTTAACCATTTGATCCTAAATTTACAGAGCCAAGTCTGTGTATACTTTTCTCAGTGATTTACTGAAATGATACAATATGTGTAAAATAACTTCTGTATATACCTGTTAAGTAACACAACCAAACTCCTAAGATACGTAAGCACGTGGTATTTTTTGTTGCTAGTATTTGCTGATAAACTTTGGACTTGCTGTAAAGTAAAAGTCCTGATAATAAACAGTTCATGCCCTAGCTTTGAATTTAACGCTATTTATAACACGTGGTATGTTATTTTTTTCCCTAGATGCCAAGAACACATTGGTTTCTTTATGGGCTTCATCATTTGACGTATTTCTAATCGTTGATGACAGCGCTTGGTGAACTTATATTGACTTCAAGTCACAGAAAGCTTACAATCGTTGTTGTTGTTGTTCTTTCAAATATCCATGTTTTAGCTTCCTATTCTAAATTATTGTTTTTGTTTGCTTGTTTTTATTTTAGAGCAGAGCCACATTAGGCTATCTGCTGCGTCCACCGCAGGGAATCAAACTCCGGATTTTAGCTTTGTAAATTCATAAACTTACCGCTGTCCCACCGGAGGACTATTATATATATGTGTGTGTGTGTGTGTGGATTTTTGATATTTTTATTTTTTCGGCTCACATATTTCAAATGTTGTTAATGTCGTTTGTTGATAGTGAAAATCCAAAAAGAAAGTAGCAGGAACTATACATTACTTTCATATACAATAAGCTATGAGCCGCACTTTGCGTACATGTGTAGACTTTTAAACAAACTTTAGAATGTTGATACTTCTTTCTACCAGGAAGTCTAATGAATAAAACGTCAAATCTTAAGTTACGGTTTATAGTTATGACCCGAATTACCCTATCGATCATGGGTATTCGTTACTAATTTGTTGTGATTCTTGTTGAAAACATGGTTTTGATTTCTTAAGGGTGTATAACACGGGAGTTGTTTATATATTTTGTACAATGTGTTCCAATAATAACCTTTTTTTAAATAAAATTTGCCTCCCTTTAATTCCCTTTTCATTACTACTAAAATGTTTAGGAAATTCACTTATTAGTTCGAAATTATTGACTCATATATCAGGAAGAATGTAATTAAGCCATAGTTAGCGAACTCCTTTCATTTTCCTTGACTTTTGACAAAACGGGGGTCAGTTTCCTAGTCTAAGTTTGACAGAAATAGTTTTAATGAACAATTAATTATGACGCTGGTAGTTCTTAACCCTTAATTTACATCAGAACGGGAGTCAGTTCCCTAGTTTCAGTTTGAGATTTGTTGTTGCTGTAAAGAACAAAGCTACACAATGGACTGTCTGTGCTCTGCCCAACACAAGTATTGAAGCCCGATTTTTATTTAGCATTATAAACCCACTGACTTACTGCTGAGTCACCGGGTGGTCCAGTTTGACAAAGATATTATATTGTTGGTATTTATTTGTTAAATTAATTGATTGTTTGAAGTTAAGCACAAAGCTACACAATGGGCTATCTGTGCTCTGCCCACCACAGGTATCGAAACCCGATTTCTAGCGGTGTAAGTCCGTAGACATAACGCTGTGCTACTGGGGAGCTCTTTGTTAAATATATTCGAAATTATTATCCTAATGAATCGACAGTGAATGTGTTATTAAAACTCGTGCAGTCTATGAAAGTCAACGCTGAGGGTGAATGAACTGTTCTTAACTGATTCATCAAGCTTTAATTGTTCTAATGAGACTAACCAGTTCAAAAACAGTATGTAACTTGACTTATATCTTTAACTTGCCGATAAGATTTGCTTGGAAAGAAAGTATTTAAATTAAGAAAAAAATCATTGTAGCTTGGCAACGCGTCGGAATTAAGATTTCTCAGTAGGAATCATGTATATGTAGGTTTGCCACCTTATCATAAACATTTATTAAATATATGCACCCAGGGGCGCTGTAGATATAAAAAAATCCAAAATCAGGTATCTCGGTATTTTTTGCAATATGTACAGATTTTCCAACATAAAAAAATATCATTACTTCTCTCAATGTACGAAAACGAAATTTACTAAAACCATTTTTTTTTTAATTTGGAGTTTTTGTAAACTGTAGCTTAGAATAACGCGAGCGCGTGAATTACAATAATGTTGCTATTTATGCAGGGGCGAAATTTTCGAAAGTGAGGGGGACATTCCATGAAACTAGGGTATAAAAGAAAATATTCTGTATAATAAAAAAACTAAAATGGTTCTTTTCTGTGTTTTTTTTTATCCTTTTAGTCTTATATTAATGCGACACATTCACTAAATAACGGTTATATCATCATTTACAGTCTTTTAAAACTTTCAATAATCTACTTACATACTCTCAACGGAACCAGTTTGCTTTATTACACTTTGTACAATATTTAGGTATTAATACAACTTATGGAAGAGTAATACTTAGGGTAACTCGAATAAAACAAAATATATCAAATTGCTGATTTAATGACTTATACAGCACAAACTTTAGTTGAAAATGTTATCCAGTTAAAATGCCTTTAAGAAGAAAAAAAAAGCAGGAGTGAAACTGTGTTACTGCTAGTCTTTGAATCAAACCAAGCATTGTGTAAAATAAGTTTAATATCTTAACTGTATATCTCTGTTATGGTATAAATCTTGGGTGTTGCAAAACGGTGAAATTTCTAAGTATTAGTTCCTTGTTTCCTAAAATTTAATTTTGTAACCTGCATTTACATAGTATGGCTATATCAAATATGGTCCCTTATTATGAAAATTCCTGTTTTGATATACAAATAAAATAAACATAGAAACATTTAGAAGCATAACTGTACTTGCCTTTAGAAGAAAACACATTACAATAGAATTTTGACAAGGCCTTTCTTTTTTCTTTGGCTGTAACTTAACCTACTGTAAAGATAACTTTCAAATTGTCCTTCTAACCAGAAGATAACAAGAACTCCTTTATTTTTCTAAAGAAAATATCTGAAAATATACCTGCGCTGGTCATTTGCAGCAATAAATTGTTGGCAGAGTGTTTTTCTTCCCAAGTGATCAAGTTATTCTTGATTAATGTGGCAAACAGCCACATTGTTGGTGCGACTTTGTTTCATAGAATTACAAAGCCAGATCTTCAGCCTTCTAAGAATACTGAAGCTACTCTCAACTTCAACAAAGGAGGCAAGGACAGCTAATAGTAACCTCACAAGGGTCATGGACCTCAGGCAGCATGTCCCTCAAGATTTTTACAGCTTCAGTGTTGGGATTGTAGGTGTATTTTGAGATGAACATGGCTAATTGCATAATGTAAAGATTTTCTGGTCAAATCTGGTGAGTCTGCAGGCTTCTCTGATTGGAGAGCTCTCAGAACTATACATCTACAGTGTCTAGTAGCTTGTAGTCAACCACACACAGAGTTTGGGGTCATCCTCTGACCTCAACTTTTGCAGATGGCTTAGATTCTCCTCCTTTTCCTCTAGACTTCTAAAAGTTAAAACGACAATACGCTTACAACCTTCAACAGGCAATATTTTGTCTCCTGTTGTTGTGATGCCAAAGCACTAGAGAGCTGGGTGTCTACTGCTCTCCAATTTTTTTCTCTGAAAGCTTTTGTGCAATAAAAGCATAACAACCCTTTCAAACAAGGGCTGCAGTGGAACCAGGAAAAATATTTGAACTATTTCTCCTGAAAATGGAGAGTTCTATTTGTGAATTCTTGATCTATAATGAACCTTGGATCTGCTGGAGTCCTTCGTTTTGAGCCATTGGCCAGAGGTAAGGTAGCCAGTCAGCAGCACCTTACTACTGACCATTCCTGCGAAGGAATTGCCTGCCACTGTTATAATGTACCTGTAGCTAAAAGTGCGGGGAATATTTTGCAGTATAGCACAGATCTCTACCACAGAGACAATCCACGACAATCAAATTTGTGTAAGTTCTTTAAAGATCGTTAATATATTAATCATGTATCTCTTGATTATTGTAATAAAATTATAAACAAAAATTATGTAAAGTACAAGGATATACATATTCCTTCAGTTTGTACTGCCTGAAGATATTATATTAACAAAATTTGCCTAAATCTGGGAGCTATAGACTATTTTTTGGTTCATTAAAATATTTCATCATTAAATCGCTATTTGGCTTTGCTCGTACAATGTTAAAGTTAAAGGTAACGATATAAGTACGATAATGTTAATTATAATAAACTACACATGACATTTCACGAGGAACGACATCTGGCGTATAAAAAAAAAGGAAAAAAGAATCACGTCTCGTTTTGGACAACAATTTACTCGACTTTCACGTTCAATAAGTCCAACCAATCCTGAAATCCTCCAAAACTCTTTTATCACGTCAATAAGTCCAACCAATCCTGAAATCCTCCAAAACTCTTTTATCACGTCAATAAGTCCAACCAATCCTGAAATCCTCCAAAACTCTTTTATCACGTCAATAAGTTCAACCAATTCTGAAATCCTCCAAAACTCTTTTATCACGTCAATAAGTCCAACCAATTTAGAAATCCTCCAAAACTCTTTTATCAC